AAGCCCCAAATGAAACTTTAACTTAAACCAGCTCCTTAAACCAACTTCTCAATTCCTGCACAAATATAATTTAAATCAAATAAACTGGATGCATGAGAGGCTTAATGCCCATCAGACTAATCTACTGTGCATTAATGCATTAGCATGATTTTTGACAGCTGTTCTAATGTGCAGCAGATTAGTCCAATGAGCATTAAGCATCACACAAAAAGCATTCATCTGAGCTAATGCGCAGTAGCACTGATTATGGCATATTAAGTTACTACCTGGTATTACAGGTTATTACAGGTACTAATGTAATGCACCATAATTGCAGCACATTAATAAATATATAGACGCATGTTCATTCTAATATATGAATATATAGACCCACTGATCAATTATTTAAGATGTTTCTCCTAAGAAACACAAGTAAGGGAATTAAGAATACAATTATTGTTATTTTATTTTAAATCCTTGGGATTAAATCCTCTTCCTTGGGATTAGATCCTTGGGATTAAATGATGCTTCCATGATGGAGACAGAGATAGGTAAATGAGCATCTAATTTAACCTTATAGTTTCATAGTTTATAGGGTTGGAAGGGACCTGAACATATCATCAAGTCCAACCCCCTGCCCTGGGCAGGAATGAGTGCTGGGATCATAATACCCCAGTCAGATATCTATCCAACCTCCTCTTGAAGACCCCCAGGGTAGGGGAGAGCACCACCTCCCTTGGGAGCCCATTCCAGAGCTTGGCAGCCCTAACCGTAAAGTAATGCCTCTTGATATCAAGCCTGAACCTGCTCTCAATCAATTTGTGGCCGTTATTCCTTGTTATCCCAGGTGGTGCCTGGGGAAACAGAGCCTCGCCTATTTTCCGCTGGTCCCCCCGGTGAGTCTATAGACAGCCACCATATCCCCCCTCAGTCTTCTCTTGTGGAGGCTGCACCTCAAGCTGCTGACAGGCGAAACTCGTGACATGGGTGCTCATGCAACTGACTGTGTCTGTCTTGGGGCAGTTGATTGTCTGCATTGATTATTTCCTCCTCTTAGTCTGTTGTTTTGTAGGTGTTAATCCTTGCTAATTAACCCATTACATTAGCTTGTTACTGTGTATTGAGCTGGTCCCTGAGTGCATCATGATTGATTGGTAACTGGTAACACAGTAGCTTAGTAGCCAGGCCTGCACTAGTCCCATTTCCCCCCATCCCCAAACCCCTGCAGCTATCTCCTTAACAGCTGGCAGGCTTCTTGGCCTCAGCAGAGGCCACCACCCCTGCAGTTTTCACCCCCCTGCAGTGCAACAGGTACACGTGACATGAGTTTTGCTTTCAAGAATTTGGGGTGTGGTTTCCCCCAAACCCCTGCACCTATCTTCTTGAAACTGGGCATACTTTGTGCTCTAAGATGAAGCTACCAGCCTTGCAAGTTTCATCCAAATCAGACAAAAAACAACAAAGTTATAGATATTTCATTGGTTCCCCATTATACCCTATGGCTAGATCTCCGAAGCAGCTCCAAAGCTTCAGAGCTGCTTCAGTCGAATGTAAGCTTAAAACCAGTCCGGAGGTCCGGATTGGATCGCTGGCATCCGAAGCAGCTGGATCTGAAGCTGAATCAAATAGCTGCCTATTCACATAGACCTAGTAGGCATCAATGCTACAGTTGCCTAGTTTTTTTATGAGAATGCGGTGAGAAACAGTGTAAAAGGCCTTCTTGAAGCCCAGGTAGATAACATCCACCTCAACACCCACATC